ATGACTGACTTTCCTCTTCAATTTTCTTTTACCATTTCGATATGTCACTGTATTGACCCGGTCTTCCTGTATACTTGTTGATAAGCTGAAAGCCACAGTGAGGGGAAACTTGGTGTGACCAGCAATCAAGAGGCGGATGTTTAGTTTGGAATGAAACTTGTGTCCTCAGGCGCAGCACCACGGCACACAGTTTGTTTTTGTTTTGCCTAGTACAATTTTCACAATGAAGGGTTTGAAAGATCCACAAGATGAAGATCCACACCAGTTTCTCCAACTTTTAAAGAAGAGGAGCATGCGACTGGGGACTTCATTGCTCCTCGTGCTGAAGTGAAATGCCTTCATCAATCAGGAGATCACAATCAAGCCATCACAAGCAATACTAAGAAGTTCACAGTTTGCTGGTGACAGAGAGCACATTGGCTGGGCCTACAATGGGTTCAAGGTAACGTTTATCTGAGGAAGACAAAGGGTAGAAAAAATAAAGGAATCGATTAAAAATAAGCTATGCACTATATTTTTACTTATAAAATGTACAAGGAGGTACTAATACCTGCTGTCCAAAGTCAAAGTGGTATGGCATCCTGATCTTCTTACTTGAAGACAGACTGGGAGAGATGGACAATAGATAGTCATTGCGGGTCTTTTGCAAACAGCATCCGCCTTGTTGTAAACAGCCCTCTCTTTTTAAACAAGCTTAATATGATCCTGTTGCTTCTTGATTGCTGTAGTTTTCTCCTCTCTGGAAAGTCTGTTCTCACTACTAATAATACATTATTTTGTTGGAACTGCCAGCAGAGCTGCGTGGGGTCTGCAACTTCTTATGAATGGGAGTAGTGGGATTACAGCGCAATGCACCTCTATATAGCCACGCCATCCAATACACCCCACACATACTGTAGAAAGCTCACATATTGATCACACTACAACTCTGGTAAAATGTGTAACATTCTTCATTTAACATTATGGGTTTATATATGAACAATGTCAATGTCAGCTGTTCCGGGGTGGCATAAAAAAATTCTCATCTACTCCATATTATGCTTGTTTACACAGGACCACATTTGAATTTTGCCTCTCTACTGTAAGTTCTCAGAAGATTTTCATTTCACATCAAAAAAACAAAAAAACACAACTAACTAAGATTAAGTAACTAAGACCTCTTTTGATTCTCAAACCTTGGCTTCAGAGGGAAAAATGTGGTTTTGGCTCAGCCTTAGAATACTACAGATTTTCTACATCCTCACCATGGTGCCAATGTCTTGCAACCAATCTGATAAAGGATACATACTGTTATTATGTAGCTGCCAATTATTAACAGCCATCAGTTAATCGTAGTTCAGCTCTTATTTCTTAGTTATGTTAAAACCACTGTGTAAATAGTTTTTAGTAGTTATTTTTTTCTTTATATGCATTTGAAATAAGCAAAGGTTTTTCTTTCCATTTTCTGTTGAATAGTTGTAATGAATGAATTGTTTTATATAGTTAGAATTGTGTTTTATTTGTGAGCTAAAGATTTTGACTTACCTTAAGTGTGTGAATCATATTTCCTTTAACCTGTCTTTAGCTATAAGGTGAATTGTTTGCCAAATTAGACATTTTTGATTTTGACTTAAAATAAAAATTTACTTTTATTAGGTTAGATTTTCATAATACTTTAAATACTGTAGGTTTAAATCCGTAAATACTACAATCACCATTCCATATCATATCCAAGTAAATATTGAGAGTTGCATTTTCCATTCCTTACAGTAGGTTTTAAGCTTTTAAGACAATAGGGAGAGTATAAATAAAGTTTACTTACTTACTTAGTAAAAAAGGAAAGACTTATTTTATTAAAAAAAGCTTTTCAATTAAATTCAAGAGTTAACGAAGTAAAAAAACATCCCCAAAAATACATCTAAGCATATTCATCAAAGAGTTGTGGTAGTGAGTGTAGTAGAATGAGAAAAGGTGTTCTACTGTATACTCTAGTGGTATGAAGTACTCTAGTGAAGTTATTACTTGTTTAATACTTATTTCATTGATTGAACATGCTAAAATGTTGGCATTATTATTCAAATGATCAAACATCCGATTTTTAGAAAATCTATTACAAATTGTTATTTGTAATAGATTTTCTATCCTGGCAAAAGGTACATTACTGAATATAAACAGACTTTAGCTGTTTAAGCAATACATGTATGTTTTGGTAAATTCCTTTCAAATTGATTATTTTCCAATCCAAGAAATTTATTATGAATTAACTGAGATCACTTACACATAATATTCTTTTGATGACAATACACCTCTCTGTCAGACTTTTCCGGTGTTGAAATGTGCACATTTTTGATAAGTGAGCTCTGCATAGAGGCCAGTGCAGCCTTCCCAGTGTGGTGGTTGGCTCGTTTTGAACATAATCCGATTGTAGCTCATGCTTTCCTTACTAATGTTGCAGAGGGCAATAGGTTTTTGTAGCAGCAATATTCCACTGAAAAGTTATTGATACAGAAAAGCCAAATCTGTGATTATATTTAATGCTTGTGTTGTGTCCTTGGGCAAGACACTTTACCGTAATTGCCTACAGATGCTGTTTAGAAGGTCCGGTGGCACCTCTACAAGGCAACTTCCAATCTCTCAATGAATACTAGTGCAGCTGTGGCTACAGTCTAGCTTGCCCCATCTGTGTGTGAATGTATATATGTATAGATAAAAGGCTGAATGAAGTGTAAAGCCCTGTAGAATCCTCTTATTTGAAAAAGGGCTACATACTTTAGGTACAGGCGATTTATCATTAACTTTACCAAAGTAAATATTTCAGGTCATGTTTTACATCAACAAATGTTAAAGTTGCTGTGACAATGCACTAAAATTTGTTTGCATTCCATGTGCACTATTTAATAAAATATGTGCTCCACGCAAATAACTCAGTATGATCTGTCACATTTACTGTATCGCAGTGTAACATAAACAAAATTATTAAAATATGACAGGGCTTTAAATTTAAACATGATCAACTAAAGTGTCCACAATGCATCCAAACCAGATTGCCAATTTAATGGTTCTTCAGTGAAGGATGTTCAGTCTGACTTCAGAATCTTAAGGGGAAAAAAATTGGCAAAATCTCCATATACAGCAATCCTTGTATTAATTGTTCATAATTTTTTTCTGTGAAAACAGATAATGAAAAAAACAAACATGTTTTAAAGAAAAAAAAACACCAAATCTTAAAAGTAGCCTAAAAATAGTTAAACCTATTTAGATATATTCTTATTGGATAATTATTGTGGTTCTCCTGTCTTTTTTAACCTGCCTCTTGTGTCTCATAAAAGTATTGCTACATCAAAGCCAATAAAATAGTAGTAATCTATAATTGATTCCATCAGTTTTTATCTAATTTTAGTTAAGTAGAGAAATATCACATTGGAAAGAAACTCTTCTCCATTTTTCTTTTTTGTTTTATGAAGCAAAAAAAAGCTTTTGTTATTGTATTCTTGTATTTTTTTGTTTAAAAACTAATGAACAAATAATGCACAGATTACAACCTCTTTAAAGTCCTGTCCAGGTTCTTAAATAAATAGTGCAACAGGAAGAAGAATAGCTTATGTTGCAGCCCAAATTATTAATCAATTTTGGCTTCCAGTAGAGCAATTAATAAAGTTGGGGTAAAAAATCCATAGACTTGTTATCCACTTTTTAATATAAATAGGTAAACTAAATAAAATGATTGGTTGACAAATTATAAATTATAAAAAGGAACTGTATGAAAGGAATTTTAACTAAGAAAAACAGTAGTTTGGTAGAGAGAAAAGTAGATTATTTCCAATATGGTGTTTGATAGTTCAGAAAAAAAAATCAGACTCACCTTATGAGAAACTGAAAGGTACTCCTGCAGACTTTGATGCCTGCCAGTCAAATAAGTTACCCTAGCCCCTTTTTGGTTGTTGAGTTTTCCTTGGAGAGGATAGTCATGTCCCACATCAAAGACCTCATAGTGGACCAACATCAGTACCCCTATAAGACAAGCTGATCTGTTAGCAATCTGTGCAATGGACCACACTGACCTTGCCCACCTAGACAGTAGAAATTCCTACATCCATCTGCCCTTGCTAAATTTCTCCGGCTTTCAACACCATTGTCACATGGTCCATGGCGTTGAAGCTCTCCATTCTTGGACCGAGTCCCATATGCGTTTTTACGGCACTAGTGCCTCGTTTTGTTCGACACTAGGCTGCCAGGAAAGGGGGTAATGAGAGAGGGGGAGAGACATGCAGCAAAAGACCACAGGTCAGATTCGAACCCGTGTCGGCCGCATTGAGGACTAAGGCCTCCGTACATGGGTCTTGCGCGCTAACCACTGCATCACCTGCAAGCCCCCATATTTGCTAACTTAATAGTAATAATACCAGCTTCAGAAACAGTTTCTAACTTCCAGCTGTTAGATTGCTGTGTGCCATGTGTTGTCACTCAAGGAGGTGCTGTTACAGATTTTCCATAGTCTGCAATGAGTCACAAAAAAAAATGGTCTCAAAATGTGGTGCAACATAGGTTGGCTGAGGTTTCACCTGGAAACAGGCTGGTTTTAAACACAAAACATTTTAAAACCTCTGAAATTGCTATCTAAACTATTGAGTATTGTCTTCATATCTTGAATGTCTACAAAATTGACATTCTCCCTTGTCTTCCTCCATTTGAGCTCTTGAAACTTGTTGTTGCTTTACTTACACATGACACGTCATATTTATAAATTTTTATTTTGCCGTTTTGGTCTTACAGTAATTTCTTTTTTTTATTACTTTGAAGTATTTAAATCCTAGATTCTGTCTAAAAGTTTTTCTCCATACTTTTATGGTTTTAATATTAAACTAAGAGTGTTAGAGAAAAGATCAGAGTAAAGAAAGTGTGTTTAATGTGGTAGCTCCTTGTGCAGCCAGTAGGGGGAATCGACTGCTTGCACTGGCACCAGCCCCTTTGGTCCTTACTCCTCTCCTCCTCTTCCCCGTGTTCTCTCAGGTTGTGGAAACACTGCAGCCCGCTGGTCTGTGTCTGGATCCCTCACTTGCACAGAGCTACTCAAGACCCTCCCACTGGCTGGGCCGGGAAGGAGGAGGCAGTGTGTGCTTTGCTTGTAGCTCCGAACGAGTCCCCTTTACCACCCTGTCGGTGTGGAGGAGAAGGAGAGAGAGAGGCTTGGATACTGAGTGACAGAGAAAGCACACGCGAGAGTCGGGCTGCTTAGATGAGCGAGAGAACCGTGGAAGAATAAAGAGCACGTTTTGTAGAGGCAGAGAACAGGATCGCAGACAAGGGACTTCAGGAGACAATTCCTGTCTATTTTGCAATCACTTGCCTACTAACTGGAACTCTGTGGATTGTCTGACAAGCCAGAGGATTTTTGAATATATGCCTGTGCCACATCTTTTAGAAACTGGGATCTATCTCTTTTATCTGTGCTCTTGCTGGTTCGACTGCTACAGACTGTGATTGCTTTTATGTTGATGTGCTGAGCTTTGGTTTTGTGAGACAAAGTGCATCTGTTGGCAACTGGCACGGACTATATCTTGTTCTGTCAAGCAGGACAGACATCAAATCAGAAGAGAGAGAAAGTGTGTTTGTGTGTGAGCTGGTGTGTGTGTCTGTTTATGTGTAAGAGGAAGGAAAGACAGAAAGCGAGGGGCAGTGAGAGAGTGCAATTAAAGCCAAGCCAAAGGACTGGAACGAAACAGCTTGAATAGAGTAGTGAACCTATACGTCCTCTCCCGTTTTTCCTTACCATTCCTTTCCTCCTCCTCTCCTCCTCCTCTTCCTTCCATTTTCAATATTCTTAGGACTGCCAGAGCTACTGCCACCTGCACCTCCTTGCGTCTCCTCTTTCTTGTTTCTCCTCTACCTCACCGTAACTATCCAGTAGTGTATACACGCTTGATTTAGGCAGTTTTTGAAATATTTCTTGTCCATCTTTGAGTGGACACCTGCCTGGTACCAAGTCTCTGGAACAGCCAGGAAAAAGTCATCAGGAGCTCCCTCATCAGAGGCGGACGTTCTCAGAGCCTCAGTCCGGCACACAAATCTTGCCTTCTCCCCAGAGAACTATCTTGCAACGCACTGGTGCTGATAGCAAATCCCGGAATTGCAAAGCCCCACTGTCGCTTCCACCACATTTCAAGCGACTTGGCAGCTTCCGCCCCCGTGTCACCATTCCCTGCCTCAGTACTAAGGATTCCAGCTACATGGGCAAGCGATTGGAGCAGCAGCCAATGTACCCTCAGTACACCTACTACTACCCCCACTATCTCCAAACCAAGGTATGAGACTCTTCTGCTGTTCTTTGATACTCGCTGATCGGATGCACTAGTGCACTCCTGTCCAGTCTCCTTCCTACTCTGCCTTATCCCCAAGGACCCCTCCCTCTTCTTTCTTCCTCTTCTAAATTTACCCTCCACATCATCATCTCATCTCTCAACAGAAATGGGATTTGGTGGATAACTGGCCTTGGTTTTGATGGTTTAATGACAGGCACCTCTTGGAGGCTGGATGTCTATGTTAGACTGTAAGCCTGTGTGTGTTTGTGTGTGTAGGTTGTGTGCACACATATCACTGAGTGAACAATCAAGGATAAGAGATCAAGGTTGGATGCTCTAGGCTACTGTTAGTCCAAGCACACAAAGCTTTACTGCTCATGTTGCACTTAGAGGGAACCGAACTTCTAACGAGATTGTTTAAAGTCTTACGTGTTAGACAATATGCATTGTAGACTTAGTAATTTAATCACAACTGCTAAGTGACTATTTTTGAGCCATCACATTAGGCAAATGAAAAAATGAGGATCTGAAAATGAATTTGCTAATGAATTATTTTTAAGCTTGATTTAAGCTACTGTTTAAATCTTCACTGACATTTTTCTCTGGGAACTAATAACAGTATGAAGTTAATCATATAAGAACTTTTTCACTGCGTATGCTTATAAGTCCCTGCTTTTCTTTTGCTTTCGATGGTTTGGTTGTGACATAGAGCAGGCATGGAGTAGGCTGCCCATGTTTGTTCAAGCTGTAGTATGCATCATTGCCTCTGGGATTGAAGCCCAGGCCTGGGTCCTGATGTCTGCCAGGACACTGGCTGGGTGCACTACCCAGAGATCATCAAGGGATTAAAATGGAAGCCTTTGGGGGATTAATCCATTTGTTTTTCCACCAAAATTCATAACACTAACTTCTATCAGTTTAAGCAGTATTGTGATCTAGACCAGTGATAAAATAGAATGCTGCAGGTGTGCACCAAAACAACTAAATGACTATTGTTAAAATGTTTTGATCCTTTTCTTAAGGAAAATGATAAATGGTTTTGAAAATTGCAGTGTGACCTGCAAAACTTTCTCTTTACCAGTTTTGCACATCTAGAAACTGATATTTCAATAACTGTTCTTTGTAAAGCAATTCACATTTCTACAGACTGGATGTAGAGCATCCATAAATATAATTTTTAAATATGTATATTTATAATATAATTTAAATAAATATGCATTTATATTATATATTTATAATATAACTTTTGTGTCCCAGATTCTTAATTGGATTTAGATCTGGGTTTAGCTGCAAAACACTAAATACACCATTATTTTACAATTTAGCTCTTGCTGTGTTTCTGCAGCTCTTGCTTTTTTTTTTTTATAATTTCTTTAACATGATGCTTCTACCCTTATGATTTAGTGTTAGATGAGCAAAATTTGAACCCTGTTTTTTCTAAGCAAATCTAAAAAAGGCAAGGCAGGTGATGAAAAAAACGCATTCATACTTCTATGCCATTTTGGCAATAAAAAAAAAGATAACTTAAGAAACTTCTTTAATTTATCAGCTTTATCAGAGATAGTTATTGTATCTAAGACATCCCCAGTGTGTTTTCCCAGTCAGAGCCATCTTCTGTAGGTTCAATTGCAAGTCCTCCTTCTACTTTTCTTTGACTCATGTCTGTTCAGTAATTGCATGATGAGGAAACTGTATCTCTTTGCTCTAATTTTAAAGACTGATTAAGTCTTTATGTTTTGTTGTCACAAGAATCAAAAATGCATCTGTTATAGCTCACGTCATGCTATCTGCAAACCTAATTTGGTTAACTGTTGAATCTGTTCTCTGCTCTGTAATATTGTGCCAAACTTATGTAATTTTGGGACTTATCGTATTTCTGGTTTGGCATCGCTCCTTTTCCTCCAACACACTGTAAATACAGGTAGGTTGATGGACTACATCAACTGTTGTTTGAAACTTATGGCTACTGGTGAATATATAGTTACATCAAAATAATAAAAGCATTGACCCTATGATTTTGACTGAAGGATTTGTTTTCCAATAGCTGTTTGATGAATCCTTTCAGCACTGTTTGGGTGATGTAAGAAGAAGCATGGGTTTGATTACTATCCCAGACTTGATTCTATGCTCTTTGATCTAATTTTTTGTATCTGCTAAAACTAATTTGTATCAAACATTTTTAAGCTGTGGTCATTGGAAGGAAACGCTTCAACTTCGTGCTTTAAGCACAATAATTTGATACTGATGTTTTCATCCTTTTCATATGAACCATTCAACCTCGAACCGGGAGGACCTTACTGCAGCCCCACCTGGTAGTCCCCTAGCCTTTCCTCTGATTTATAGTTTAATACATTTGTACTGCTGCCATATGGCTCCCCTCGTTTCCCCATCCACCTCTTCCTCACTCCCCCCTCCCTCTTCTCATATCTCAGAGCTGCTCATCTCAGGGGCCTCTCAATCAAGGCATGCCCCTCCATGCACTCCCTCCCTCTAGCTTCTTCCTCTACTCTTACTCTCTGCATCCCCACTCTGTTGCAACAAACCTCCCTTCCCTCCTTCGTCTGTGCTGCAGTTCACTCCCAAGGTCAGCGCAGATCCAATCTTGCCACCGTCAGCATTAGATGTATCCTTGAACAAGCCGCTAAGGTCCCATGTCATGAAAACCACACCTAAAGTGGGCAGCTTGTAACAAGAAAAGCATGCATTTTTGTCCTAGAGTCAAAAACTTATATATGTTTCATAACGATAGACAGTGTGGCCTTGTATTTTAGAATAATTGTAAGGTAAAGGGGTTTAAAAAAAGGTCAGAGCATGGGGCAATGTGGCCAAGAGGACTGCAGAGGATCATGTCATGCTCTCATTAACGATCATTGATAGCCCAATTACAGAGAGGGGAGAGGAGGCTTCGATGTCATGTTAAATCACTCGATGTAATCACATGGTAGTCACTTCAGCCTTGCTTTTATAATAAATTCATTGAATCTGCAACATTCATATAACCAAACCCTTTGCAATTATAATACTTTTTAATTTTTATCATTGTCATTGCTGAATTTTGGATTTATGACATAAAACCGAGACATAAATGAGGAAGCATACATTTTTTATTGGGGTTATAAGAGGAGAAAAGCTTGTTTCTTGTATCTTACCTCTCTCTTTACTATTCATTGATCTGTGGACAAAAGACTTTGCTAATATAAAAATATATTACTATTTTGTTGGTCTACTACCAACAAAATAGTTGGTACTACTATTTTGGTAGTAGTACCATTGGTAGTAAGATACTACTACCAATGTCGCAAGATTTTCAGGATTAATAATTTCTCCTTAATCCTATTCAAATTTGGAAACTATAAAGGTTTATCCAAATAGGAAAAACAGTGATGTCTATTCTGGTCCCGTTGTACTCCCTTTTGACTTAAGAACTGTTATATTCCTCTTGACATAGATCAATAAAGTTTCATAATCATTCACCAGAGATTTTCATGATGATACTGCATACTCAATTTGAACAGGTGTACCTAATATGGTTGTTGTTAAATGTAGGTACAAACCTATTTCGATTTCTTGAGTTTTAATTACCAGCAATTTGAATCAATTTAAACAAGAATTATTTTTTTTTTTTAGTTTAGAAAAGTCTGATTTAAACACCTGTAAAGAGAAAACTTAAAAGAAAGATATGTACATTTCTGCTAAAGAAAAAATTAGAATACTTTTTTTAAATTAAGAGGATGGAATTCTCACATAAAAAATACAGCTGCTTTCCAGATTATTCATAGTGCTGCTAAAATATTATTGCACAATTATTGCTTTGATTTTACTTTGTTTTCCATAAACACGTAGAATGACCAATCTATTAAAATGTGCTACAACCAACCCTTTTTTTTTGTGGCCAATTTGGTTTCATGAAATATGTTATTGTCCTATTAGGTATGATCTTGTAATTTGATGTACGTCCAGCATGTGTCTGTTTGTCCATATTATGATGGGAAAATCACAAAATGAGATGAAACAATAACATTTGGCTTCCTATTGATTAGTGCAGCAGGGCGTAGCATGTGCTTCTCTTTAGCTGAATTATTGATTCCTGAAGGAGGATTTGTGTGTTTGTGTGTATGTGGCTTTTATATGAGGTTATGGCTGCAGGGAACTGGCAGGATGTTGCTTTGATGAAAGGATCCTTTTAAAGTGGGCCTATTTTGTCTATTCTCGGGATAATCAGTGCATAGAGTTATTTGCCAAATTTTCACCTTTATTCAGTCTTTTTCATTGTGGGCCTAATGGCATGGGCGGTTCACAACTTGTCATAAATTCAACTGTAATGATGGGTAATGGATGATCATCCTAAAGATGGAAATTACTGTAAAAATAATTCATGCAAGTCTCAGCATTGCTCCTTCCCCCCATGAGAACAATAATGGCTCAGAGATCAATTATTGTTAATAACGATCGTGTTCAGGGAAGAGTGCAGTTTTTAACGGGATATTTCTCTGTTGGTCTAAACGTGTTGTTTTAAGGCCTTGGCCTGTATAAAAATCTAGTCGAATAAGTACCTTTAGTGAATATATGCCCTAATTCTTATTTATGATGGTAATATAAAAGAATCAACAAGTTAAAAGAATAAAATAACAATTGTAAATTATTTTCATTTTAGACAGAAAAGCACTGAACATTCCAACTACGGTTAAAACAATATCACGCATTGATAATTACTTTTGTATTTTCATATCAAACATTTATGTATTTCTCAAAGGATACATTTTTATACAAAGGATGGTGTAAGACTCTGTTTTTTAAAATTGGTTTATGTATAGTTCTACTTCTTTGCTACCAAGTTATGAAGGCTTACTAGGTTGCATTTCGATATTTAAAAAATATATTCTAAAGGGATTCCTGAAATTATTGTAGGTAATATCTTGAATAACTGATTTAAATCCTTTCTTTTATAATGCTTTACTGTTACATAAATGTATGTCTGATCCTGCTCTACCTTTTGTGCTGTT